TTTGTAGATCAGACGTTATGTCTTTTAGACGTTCCTCCAAATCTAAGAAGTTTTGCATCATTGACATCTTCCTGCTGCTAGGAATCAGTCCTAGAAGACGGATCGTAGAGGACATTTAAAGAAATGAACCACTAAATTAATCCCTGAACATATTACTTTTGTTTTTTCGTTTGTCCGTACACACATAGTCGATCTTTGATTAATCGTTTGAATGAATGACTATTTTCTCACTGACAGACAGACTGACGTAATTCCTTATTATTTGACTGACAGACCGATCTTCTAATATGTATTGAACTGTTTCATGTAACGAAGGTGTCCGCATTTCTGATTAAAATCTGTGGGACACGCTGACCAACTAACTAACTGACTGATTGGATGACTGACCGACCGACTGACTGACTGACTGACGGACTGACTGACCTACTGTCTGGACTGACAGACAGGCAGACTGATTGACTGATTGACTGACTAGCTAACTAACTAACTGACAGACTGACTAACTGAAGGACAACTGACTGTCTCACTGCCTTTGATTGCCAGTTGAATTTAAAAATATAGAATCGCACCAATACTACGATTTATACTAATTAAGATAGAACAGTTTTCTTAGAGCTATCTGTTTTATATTTACTCTACAGGAACCTAAGGTAATTTAATTTAGAGGCAGTTACCTTTTCTCTTCTTTCGTACCGTTGGCTTACAGTTGGTGTAGACTTCCCATAGTTTGCCGATGACTAATAGGAAGGCAAATATTCCCAATAAGGCAAATAAAATAAATTTGGTCATTTGTGAGCCAGTGGAGAATAACCCTTCCATTTCATCGGACAAATCCGCTGTCTACAAGGAATAAATAATTTTCAAACTGTTGATTGCATCAGAATAAATGTTAGACATAACGAGAAGAATGGCACATGGTGAAATATATAAAATTCACAACAAAACAATTAACTACCTGTAATTCGGCAGGGATAAGTTGCTCTTTGGCAGTGTCTTTTGCAACTGCAACCACATCCGCTGATAACTCTTTCAGGCTTTCCCCGCAAACCGAAAGCTCAGTTTTTCTAGTCAATACTTCGTCATCAAAATTGTTCGTGTCATTCGGTGACTCCATTACGTCATGGCTCACGTGAGCCAGGTAATATTCCATTGGATAATCAATGTTACGAATCATTCGGATCTGCCTGTTTCGTTTTAAACCAGATTTATCCAGAAAGTGAAAGGCAGTATTGCGATCCACCATTACTCTTCCAATTGTTCCTCGGCTAAGATTTTTTTGCATTTCGTCCAGGTTTTTGAACTCTGTTAATCAAAAATTTATTTGATTAGTCAGCCAACGCAAGTTCTTACATGAATAAAAGGAGAAAAAGAGGCGGAGAAATTTCTCCTGAGAGTTTTCATACAAAAATATACGAAATATGACTGTTTGGAATTAAAAACTGATTATTTTTATGATTATTTCTTTAGTTTCGCAATCGTCCCTGAAGAAAAACGGTCATGCAACACATTATACAAGGACATTGAAATAAACCTGAAAAGAATGACTTACGGACAAAGTCTGCATCCAGCTCCTTAGCAACTATATGCGTTTCAGGATTCTTGTTGGACACACCCACCTAACAAGTAAATTGGGGTCAGAAACATTTTTATACGCCAGGTGGGCACAATTATTGCTTTTAATTATGAAAGTAGTACTGCAAGCCTAATGAGGATATTTTTTCTTATTTTAAAGGAAACGTTATCAGAGTCTTGACTTGTTTGGTCTCTAAGATCGATTATTTTCAAATTCGGTCCATGGATCATGTCTATTTTCAGGTTTTCAATGTCTTGGAAGAAGAGGGCTATCGCAGTATAGAATCGTTCGTTGTCTAGAGGACTGGGCACACCCGTAGTAAAGATTGCATCGTTTATAATTCCCGCTTTCACAGGCAACAAAATGGCGGCGAAGAGAAACTTACATTTTGACACGACAAGTCACTGCTTCTTGTCTTGAATCCAGTGGTTAATTATGTTTTGTCGGAGGAAATATTTATCTCAAAATGAAGAGGATTTCATGCTTAATTGACAAAAAATACATAATTTGGACTTCGTTCGTTTCTTTTTTTTTTTTGGTAAAGCACACTTAAAGAAAAAGTAGTATAATTTTCAAAAAACTGATCGAGCAATGCCACTAGCATAACATGCTACTTTTACTGGCACAATCTATTAAGGCTTAGTGGAAAGAATATGAAAAGTCTGTACAACGAAATTAAACTTAAGTTGTAGTTCCGGAAAGACCCACCCTAGATAATAGGAACAGGGAAGGCATTGTTGTTGAAAGGGCCAATAATAGCCGAAGTTGTACAAACCAAAGCAATTTTCCATTTCGACAATCAATTAAAATTGTTTAATGTGAATTTCATTCTTCACCTCTGACTCAGGTAGCTCATGATTCTTAGTTACTCCAGCGATCATAAACACGGCCTCACTCAGTCATTCAGGAAAAAAAAACCTTTCGAAGCTTGGGTTAAGATAAACGGAAAAATGTAGAGAATCTAATTTGATCACCAATTAAAGAAGCTCTTGATTGTTAAAAAAACATTTTTTTCCAGCACCTTAAGAAATGTATAGAGAAAAGTATGGAGAAAGGGGCATAATGATGTTTGGGTGCAAAGGGTTTTAGGTATTCATGTTAGGGTTACTAACCTTTTTGCCACCAATGTCCCTACATCTCGTACCATCCAGGGAAGCTTGCATAGCATTTGTAAATAAGGCGGTGAACAGCGACAACATTATTGCTCCTATCAGGATCCACATTATACCAAAGGCACGTCCACAGAGGGTTTTAGGCGTCTTATCACCGTACCTTATGAGAAAAAAGGAACCAAATATCTTTGCGCTTTGAGGATAGTGTCGTAAGTATAAAAATTTTTAATGTCCACTTAATTGACCATTTCCCCGATGAGGCTTTTCAGGATCAATACAAATGACTGAATTTGTAAATGAGAGAATGAATGAAAATATCAACTGGCAGCAAGCTGAACATTTGGCTATATACAAAGCGCAGCCAAGGAGTTGAACTCTGAAACTCGTGGCAACCGTAAACAAATCCGGTGAGTAGCGGAGGGTGGAGGGCCTAGACCTGGGACATCCAGATTACAAATGCAGCACTCCAACCACTAGCCCACACTGCCTCCCTCCTGTAGCGTAATAAATACTCTGCCCCATCGATAATGATCATAATCAACTAAATTGAAACTACTCAGAGTATGTGCGTTTTAGCTAAAAATTATGACTTCATCTAAATTTGACGAATCTCATTCCCCTTCCCACTCTCCTCTCCTTACACTATCCACTATGTCAAAAAAAAAACAAAAAAAAAACAAAAACAAAAAACCAGAAACATAGTTTTAAGATATGCAATGGAAAAATTTTTTTAAATTATTTCCTACTATTCATTTTGGTTTATGAGCTGTGAAGAACTGTGAACAAGAGGACCCCGATACCACGTAACAACTAGTTATTTGTTAGACTGGAAGCCAATTGAAGAACGGAACCCTGGTAGAGATTTTGAGAAACCCAACCCAAGTATCAACTTTGACAAAAATGGGTTTTACAATATTGCTTATCTTTAATCGTATTCAAAGGACGCAGTGAAAAAAATATCCCACTGATACCCAAATCTAAATCAACTTACCCTACTGTTGTAAGTGATACCACTGCCCACCAAAAGCCTTCTGGTGATCCTATCGTGAACGAGGGTGAAAACTGAGCCGCGTTTGAACGGTGTTCCTGTCATGAAAATTGGTATAATTGTTTAATGAATTAATACTATGTAAAAAAACTAATATTAAGGTGACGTTTAGTGTGGAGTAAATAAAATTGATTAGAAAACACTTCAAGCTTACTTAAGGCCTTGCTACAACGCACAAAATTCGCAGCAGTTTTACTGTACCCGAACTTGTGACATCTTGGAATAAAATGTTCTTATTTAATAGTTTGCGTCATTGCAAGGGTCCTTTTTATCTACGAACAAACAAACATTATTTGTACGATTCGAGAATTGTAGGGCATTACAGTTTTCTCTTTATTCACTGTGAGATCCTTTTTTTCAGTCTGGCTTTTTATTTGGGTGAACTGATAAGGTGTGCCTAACTAATCGTTAACTCAAAAATGGTGCCGTCGATTCCTCCTTGTACTATTTTTATGCTAAAGCCGTAACAATTAAGTTTGAATATAACCTTACGTAAAATTAAAACTAAAGAGCTTTAGAAGCTGAGTATAGATTGACGATAAGCCTTAACTCTTACCAAGAGCCAAATGATCACTCCAGATATCCCTGACAGCAATATGATACAAGCCAATATGGGCCATTGTGACGTAATGGAAGTCAATAACTGTTCCCGTGACTCTGCTTCGCACTGCTTTAAGTTCACAATCATTGAACACCCCGATGATACAAATGCCCGGATGAGTGTCACTCTGTTTAGACCCGTAAGCTTTTGTTTTGCATCCGATAGAATTGGAAAACCAAAATCAACTGACCTATTTTTAATCAATTTCACCATCTCGTCTTGATTTTGAACAAATACTGGTACCATTTTGCAAGCTATGGGGTCTGTTGCTTCTTTACGAAAGCAAGCCATGTCCACAAACCATGTTAGGGTTTGATACATAAATCCTTTGTTCATACTTTGGTTCATTATGTAAGGAGGAAAATCCAGCAGGGCAAATTTGAATTTGCATTTCGTTTCTTTATCTTGTTCCTGACGACGTTGACGCGTTTGGCGAACTTGACGATGTTGCCTAATTTCACGGGCTTTGCGCACTAATTCCGATTGATCGATTGAATCAAGTTGGAGCTTTTGGCTGCTGGCAAGCCATAAATCGCAGCAAACCATTAGACATAGGACCAATCTCAGAGTTGGAACGTGCATCGTGAACACCGCCAAGATATGATACGGTTAGAAACCTCCCCTGAGGCTACCAGACTTCAAGTTTCGTTCAGATCTAAAAAAAACAAAAACAAAAACAAAAAATCACAGACGCAAAAGTCAGAATAATATGTTATCTGTTTGCTAGATTGTTGTTTTATACTGCACGGGTGTAATGCAAGACCATATCTCAATGTGTTTTCTATTTCACTTACATGAGAATATTCACGAAGAGGACATCATGCACTTAAAAAAGAATGCAACGAAAATATGATTTTGACCTTCTCAAAGGACTCGAAGAAAGTTTTTTTATAGACAAAAAGTTCTGGAGTTCTCACTGAGGTAGCGATCTGCCCTCCTGGCGATAGCCAGCTACCCTCACGAAACGTTTTTATTCTCAATTTCCGAAAAGCGCCCATTACGATGTATCTATTGCCACACAGCGTGCCGTTATCTGAGTTAGTGTGCTTGCAGAATTTACACCAACAAGTGTAAGTGTAAGTGCGGGGTAGTAGAATCAAAGTTACTAATTAAAAGCTGATACTTAAGCCAAAAACAGACATTCTCTTTAGTTAATGAATCAGATAAGGCGACTTGAAACATATAGACAAATTTTGGTTCGCTCCCATCTAGAAGTTCGAAAGATGGACCCATTATGAATTTTGAACTGCGCTTGGCGGTTGGCAATAACTGTTTTTTGTAAGGGTCTGTGTCATCAAGAGGGCTTTTAGGAAAATACTTTACGTTTTCAATTACAAGTAGATCCTTTTTTCCAAACTGAAACGTGGTGAAAAAAAAATTATACTGTGAATCTTTAGACCAACAAAATTTGTAATTGTAGCAGATGCAGTTCAAGGGCTTGATTATCAAAATTTTGGGCTAGAAAATTATAATTTTTAAAAGAATCCTTCATTAGCTCTTTTCATATGAGATATTTTTTGATAAAATATGGTTTTTCTTCGACTCCACTTTTGTGTATTAAAGAACATAACGGCAATTTTGGCATATTAATTTGTGTTCTACAAGATCTGTAAGGGTGGCTATGCCAGGATTATAAATAACTCCCCATTGTGAACAAAAACACCGCGTCAATGTAATTTTTTTCTAGCACTGCAGAATATTTTGAGTCCTGGACTGTGACGCCAGACTGAGCGAATGTTATTATACAGTTATCTGTGGGGGAGAGAGCGGGGGCGGACTCTAAACACAATTGATAAAGTCTGGCGAAGGGCTGCATCGAAATTTGAAAAGACGAACGCGTTTCGGTGTTCGATTAACAAATTAGGAAAGTTGACTTTTAATGAAAGATATTCAAAAGGGAATCAGTAAATATAGTGCAGTATGATTAATAATCATTATGGGAAATATTCAGAGCCAGGCAAATAAATATGCTTTCAGCTGGCGTTTGCAAAGCCAAGAAATTATTGAACTATCACTACTTCTACTTCTTCTTATGCTTAAATTCTGTTACATAACAGGATCTCATTGGCAATTCAAAATGTCATAAAAATTCTGAATTTGGGACCGGTTTTCGTTAATTTTAGGAGAGTACTTAAAAATTCCAAATAACAATATCAACAAAAACATTCGGAATTATTTTGCCAAAAAAAAACTTTCCGTCAAACCTTCATATAATTACCTCTTTCGTTGGACTCGTCCAGTTTCTAAGAAACGCATACATATATGGAAAAGGTGAACTGTTCGACGGTTCCTGAAAAAAAATCTCGGCGAGGCCTCACTCCAGACTTTGAATACCTGAGTGCTTTTAATTTAAAGGAAATTAAAAGTGGAGGGAAAGCGGCGATGTTTTTGCCTTGCGGTGAAGAGTAATTGAAAACTTGTTAGGAGGTTCTGAAATTACCATATCAATGTTACGCCTTCGTTTCAAATTTGCGGTATTACGCACAAAAAGCCTTTGTGCATAATATTATCGAGGTTAAGGCTTTTATCCAAAGCCGTCAATTGCTTTGAAAACCTCATTATACATTAAGTTATTTACTGCAACACGCGTAAGTACCATAATGGGGAAAAAACGGCACAATTAGGAAGTCAGAGACATGGGGAATACTATAGATATCTGCTTTTGGGCCAGCTCGTCAAACACATAATTGACAGCCAGCAGGTGAAATTATTTATGTGTGGGTAAAAGCCATTAAGTTTTCCACACATGCAGTAAGATGAAAAATAAAATAAAAAAGAGAACCTTTAGAACAATGTCATGATAAACAAAGAAAGGCGTAAAGTTAGCGATAATTTGCCGAAAATGAGTTTCCTTCCCGCGATTTTCCATCTCTTTCTTCTTAAACAAAAAAGGAAATTATTGGTGATTTTAAAGACGCGTTTCGTCTCTTCTGTCCTCTCAGTAAAATAAAGTTAACATATTCAATATGCGAGGTTTGGGAAAAATAAAAACATGAAAATTTTTGGGGTATTACGATGTTTTTCATTTGTTCATAGACAGGTACATGTGAGCATGGGATTTCAAATGACGATACCTCTAGAAACTTGTGGTCCAAATCGAGTCGAAGACCTATCAGTCTTATCTACCAATCCTATCTAAGATATTTACCTTCAGTGCCACCAGTTTGCGTAATACACGAACTTTAATAACGGTGAAATAACAAGGTGAGGTGTTATGAGGACCAACGATGGACCAGAGTCATGTGGGTTCCCGTGAAATAAAAAACGTCTTCTCGCCCTGTGCATGCAATCTGTGTATCGAGGAATTAAGCGATATATGACTCTCGCTAACTCACACCGTTTTGAATTTCGACAGATTCTTACACCGAGTCACCCGCATCACGAGAATTTTCATTACAAATTATTTTATTTTCGAAAAGTTTTCATAAATTCCATTTTCCCGTTTTAATGCAAAAAAGTAATCCTGTCAAATTATACTTAGAAAAGAACGATGTTTTATATGCTTTAAAGCTTGAAGTTAAGTCAATATTTAAACTTTTGGACACTGATGTCAACGATGCAAAAATAGCGTTTTAACTGTCAAATTAATCATTGCTTAAGATGGCTTCCATATTTTTAAAAGAAAGCTGTATATCACATTTTAAATGCACGATTCTACAATAAGAAACATAAGCCTAAACTACTAAAGATATATTGGATGCAGACCTAACGGGTGTAGTAATTGTAAAATGTGCCTTTAAGAAAACAATTTTGACGCTCAAAACAGTTCATAATAATGAACTCGAGTGAATGAAATTTGTAGCCGCAGGGGTCTTACAGAAAGAAAAATATTTTTGGATGCCTTAAAATAAAGAGAGTCCATATGAAGAAGCCAAGTTAAAATCCAAAGCCACATGGAATAAAAATGGTTTTAAACACTCAAATGAAATACGTCAGAAGTAAAAATTGTTTGAAAAAGGTGTGATTGGTAGTTGTGTCGACGATAATTATTCTTCAAACGATTTCTAATTTTTTGTGACAAGCGAGGCGAAATTTATTATGAAAAAGCTTGAATGCATAAATCCGCCTCTTTCGTAGTTAGCATCATTTTTTTGCTTTGGATTGGTGTACCTTAGTCAGATTTTCTGCATATGCATCTATAGACGTTTGCAGCGAGCTTCATTTCCTTTGCAAATTCCATTTCAGTGCTATTTAAGCATAGGATGTCCACGTGACAAAGAAGTATCTTGGCAAACAACCGATACCAAATTCAACAAAAACACCATCAGGAATAAAAGTCGATGAACTCGTACCTCTATGGTTTGAGTATAAATTTCATCATTGGCTTTTGGCATTTATAACAAAACCTTTTTGGTGTTTAATGGAAGCAGATAAAAATTATGTGAAGCAATAACCTTAGATGATGAAGATTTTTACAAATAAGACCTTACCTTTATTTAAATATCTCTAGATGTTCTTGCAAGACTGTTATTAAACGGGGCTCGGTTGTATAAAGGGCGGATAACGCTATCCAGCGGATAGATCGCTATCTGGCGGATAAGTAATAGCAAAACGTATAGCGTTATCCAATCCGACCTTCGAATAACCAGGGCCATAACTACAAGCATTCCCCAGGTGTGATTATCAACCTAAAGTTCTTTAGATAGAAGTGAGCCCGGTTTTCACAAATAAGAAATGGATTGAGTGCATTTAAAGTTAAGCTCTGACGTGTTTCGAAAAAAGGTAAAGATAATAGACATAAGTGGTCTCTATTGATGGCTATTGCGAATAAAACATTTCCGCCTCTTCTTGGACCTCTTGTGTTTCAAGCCGAAGACAAAGACGGTATTAATTTAACTGTGAAATTTATTATTTCATTTCAAATCCAGTTGTGAGGGAAAGAAATATTGTTTTGAGGAAATTTCTGCTCCCCCTATTACATTTTCCTTAAAACAACGACATACTCGTATCTTAGATATTTGTATCTAATCTGTCCTGAATCCTTCACTTTAGTAGGTTGTGACTGATTATGGTATTAAGTATGGCTTGCTTGAAAACAGACTGTCTTTTCGATGCACGAAAATAGTCAACGCATATGTTGCCAGTTCAGTTGCTCATGTGCGAAAGAATCAAACAATACTGAGGTTGCGGGAAAAACTTGCATGACATGATGTTTTCAGTTATGCAATAATCATTACTGAAGTGTTGCTTTCCAAATTAGTATTATCTTTGAAATCCTTGCGGTCGAATTAACAGCTACTCAGGTATAAATACACTATTGCACGAGCTTTGGTGGATTTATAATTTATCACATTTGACTTGATGGAAAGTTCCGGTAGATTTTAAAACTGTGTACTAGGAGACCTGGGAGGTTTGACTTCGTGCTGTGCGTTTATTTTTCTCAGACTGTCTGTTTTACATTTGCACTTAACGTCGGCAGAAGAAAGGAAAAGTCACGGGTTATTTTCGGTGAGGCATTCTCCTCAAAATTTAAGGAGCCCGTGGTATAGTTTCTAAGAATTAATTGAACTGTTATTTTGACCTACTTGGACGTCAGATCATTATATAAAAGAGCCTTGTTCAGGTTGTATGGAGACTAAGGGATTAAGGTCAACTTTCGCCGCATTTTATTAGATAGAAATAATACCTCGCATTTTAGGCAGATGAAAA